TCACCACTTTTTTTTTTTTTTTTTTTTTTTTTTTAACACCTCGCATGGGTGACCCGTGCAGCCGGCCGGCGTGCACGCCCGTGCCGGCCCAGCCGGTCAGCTCAGGAAGCCTAGCTGACAGTTCTTTTCCCATGAAGTTTGGCAAGTAAGTGAAACCGAGCACCTACTCGCGAAACTTGGCGAATGGCGAGTAGTGCAACTAGGCCCTTAGATCACGCTGAACCCGTTTTCCAGCAGGTGCTGCTCCCCACCAATAGATGGAGTAACCGAAGGCGGTGCTAGAGGGGCCTGCTCTTATCACCCCGTCTAACAGTGGCCACGTTTTTTCCAACTTTAAAGAAGATAATTCCTCTGAAGTCCGAGTGTCTGAGAGTACGCCACTTAAAGAACCTGTCATTTATGACTTTTTTTCAAGAAAGTTGGAAGGTTTATGGACATTGTCACATTTGTTTTGAGTAGACTGAAAAAGTTCCTTTCCCTGCTAGAAAAACAAATACATGGTCGTTGTGCGGCTGCAACTTTCGGGGGCCAGGGTACCGGACCAAAATGGCTGCATCTGAGCACTGAGTGCCCTGCTTGGTTTGCCTTGTCTCAGTGTGCTACACTCGTAAGGGAAAGTGACACAGTGTCGGGCTTATTGCAGCCAATGTGTCCATGATTGCTATTAAGAAGAACCTAATGGCACAGTTGCTCAGGGATGGCTCCATCTTGAGTCACATCCTGATCATGGCAATCATGGAGCTTAAGTTCCGATGTGAGGCAATCTTGGAATTGTAGGTGTCGTAATCGGCAATCGCAATTTCTCCCCTCACTAGGATACTCAAGCTGGGTCCAAAGCAGGACAGATATCTACTTGTATCAAGTTGTATGTGCATAAGCATGTGTGTGTGTGTGTGTGTGTGAGAGAGAGAGAGAGAGAGAGAGAGAGAGAGAGGAATGAGGCCTTGTGAAGGTGACAGCAGTCCACTTGAGGTATGCAGTCATATTGGACAGATGATCAGAAGGGGCATGCGTCTGAGGAATAATCAATTTCAGACTTTCAGTCAGATTTGTTTTCTTGTGTTTGTGAAAGAGGCATGGTGTGCCAGTTTCTTCTCTCTGATCTCGCTCAATGTTTTTTTTTTCCCGCTTTTGTTTTGGAATTTCTCTGGGTTCCTGATGACATTCAGGTTGGAAGAAGAACCATGGTGGTTGTTGCCCATTTGAACCAGAATGGCAAGCCAGCTGCCTGTGGGGCACGTTCATCAGTGTTGATGACATCGCCCGCCGCATATCCTGCATTCGTATTGCGGCCATCATTTTTGTCAGGCAACTTCTTGCGGTCGTGGAGCTAGCGAGAATGATTATCATCTGGTGAGGTGAATCGTAATTGTCTAAGTTTCCTCACCCTCACATTGTGAAGGACACGTTTCAAAAAAAAATGAGCTGCATGAACTGTCTGTGTCATATAGAATGAGCAAGCGCCATCAAGGTCATCACCGTCATCACCAGATAGAGTGCTGCCGGAGTGGCCTACATGGCCGATATGGCAAACCAACAGTACAGCCCCATTGATGCTAAATTTTTGGATGAACACACCCAGTTTTGCAACCAGATGTGTGCGTTTAACATCATCGACAAGTATCATAAGCATCATCACCGGTGTGCCACATGCCGGGGGCCCGGCCAAACTGGGCCGAAGGCTTGGACACATCCTTGGGCAGCCAGAGCCGCTGCTTGATCGACGAGGGTGATTGTGCATGCAGGGGCAGTCCGGACTCTTCTTATTTGGTGTCTTTTTCTGCAGTTTTTTTTCTTTATCTTCATTTTTAGACTGTTATTTTGCAGAGACCTTGTCTTTCCTGATTTTGTTTGTATCTGAACAGGCACTCGTTTTGTCCTGGCGTGCTTGTTCACGGAAATGGCCACTTGAAGTGTCTGTTTGGGTGCTGGCTGTTGTAGGCCAGAGGCACTTTTGTGCGGAGGTATTTTTGTCCGCTTTGGGCCTAGACGTACTTCTGTGCGGAGTCAGTGCATGAGGTGTCCCTCGGAGAGGAATGTGGGGTCAGTGCATGGTCTTGACCAGTGGTCCCGGGTCCAGACCAGGAGTCAGTTGTGCATTCTTGATAGTGGAAACCGTTCACCGATGCTGGTGCGAGTAAAGTCGACCACTTTTCTCAGGGTATTGCGAACTCTGGGCAACGTGGTGACTCCGTACTCTTCAGTCAAATGCATTCCAGCCAGTCTGTCGAGGTTCGACCTCCTGATGAGTCGGTGAAGGTGAGACAAAATATTCTGGACCAGTCATACTTCTTTTTCTGTGGAGCTGTGTACAGTGAACATGACAACACATGCTTTGATT